GGATTCGAACCCGCGACCCTCAGATTGCGAGTCGAGTGCCTTAACCACCTGGCCATGCCGCGCCATTCTTTGTGCAAATAAGTTTATATCTTTGGATCAATTAAGTTTGTTAATATATTTTCTCCTATGATGTTCTTTGGTGGTGATTAAACTACAAACACGTGATGATGCGTGAAGTTACACTGATATAAATTTTCACGTTTTTCTTCATCACTACTAAATAATGGTGCTCATTAAATATTTATACCCACTAGCTAAACTTGGAAGTTCCCATTGTGCTTTTTTCCAGGTTAGCACATACACGAGTGCTACAGTCTTTATTAAAGTATATTAAAATTATCATAAATAGAAAACGTTAAAGTGGCACAGTGGTATGTCTGCGAACCTACAACGCTAGAAACCGGGTTTCGATACCCGTGGTGGGCAGAGCACAGATAGCCCTTTGTGTAGCTTTGTGCTTAACTACAAACAAACAAGCTTATTGAAAAAAATGATAGCAGTTTGAGTTTGATTACCAGGAAAACGGCAAATGATACACGCTTATTAAGTATCTCGGTAAAGCATAAACAAACTAGGAAATAAACAAGCAATAGCAGAGCACGAATGTTAAAGGTGCTGCAGTACATAGGGGAAATATGATTCATTCAGTGATATGGCAACACTACTTAACAAAGTCCTTCAGTTGGTAAGATGTAAATGCACTATGTTTATTTGCAGAATTTACTATTTAGTACGTTTGCAACATAACCTAATTTTCATGTCTTGATAGCTTACAATCAAACTTAGTAAACACTGGGTTGGCCCTGTAATATAGCTTTGGAGTTCAGAGCTGGCAAACCGGGTTCAAATTCCTGAGATGCCAAAAAATATTAATATTCCCCTAGCTGTAAGCTATAGGTAAGTTATAAGAGTGACACTCAATTCCTTAACGTAGATGGTGGATGGAGAGTGCTGCCTCCTCTCTGGTCAGTAGTTCAACATTAGCAACGGCGGCTTGGCCATAAAGCATAAAAAAAACTACAATATATTTGACTTTAATTTCATTTTTCTGAAAATTGAGGAATTCTGTCCAAACCTCAAAAGAAAACGCTGTAAATAAAAATCATTCTAACATTAGTTAAATAAAATAAACTTATGGAAAATTTGCTTTGAAATCGAAATATCACCTCTACCGCACTTCAGTAAGCTGAGAGCTTATAACTCTAAGGCTATGGTTCTAAGTTTGGTCCTTGCAATGGGCACAGAACAGATAGCCCTTTGTGTACAACTACAAACGATCAAACAAAAGTAATCGACGAAGGACATTGTGTTTTTCAGTAAAACTCAAAACACAATTCTAACCAAATGATACGCTTTCATTGATGGTAATTGGATTTCTTCAACGCGGTATACTATGGCTGTTCACTTTCACTTCTGTTCAGCTCTCTGTAACAAATAGTTTGAACGACAGTTATCGAGGTAATAACACGGTGGGTTTAGCTAACATTCAACCATGTCGTAAGCCGAATGGGAGATATACACCATTATAAAACGAGTATTTAACATCTCCATACATAAATCATAGTTATCCGTTTTTCAGTCTGGTTTCACAAATTGTTATTAAATAATTTATGTAAAATTTAGTAAAGGTAACTCGAGTAGGTTTCCTAAATATTTGAATTTAAGGTATTAATGCCAGAAATGAGGGCACAATTGAGTAAGCAGGTCGATAGCACAATACATGAAACCGACGACTATAGAAAGTGACGTTTAAGGAGTACTTTTGCACCGTATAAACGTTTTGTGTGCTATAGCTGAAATAGAGGAAAGCTCACACCCCATTTAAGGAATTACTTTTAAGCCGGATACTTTTACTACTTTACATTAAAACGTCAAATATTTAGGCCTTGCAGAGCCAATTTTATTATAGTTCCTATACCTTAACATAAATTGATTATATTTAATTGATTAACTAAAAAAGTACTCTGGAAAAATAACACATCATCAACAACAAAATGGAACCGCCTCTTCATTTTAACCATGAGAATCCTATTTTAAAAGATTTTAACACTCATGAGGTTTTGTGTCAATTTCTGTCTCGATTGTCTTCTTACGACAATCTTTATCAATGTTTGCTTGTTTTATAAAATTTATAATAAATATTGTCGATAACAATGAAATTTGATGATTCCTCAGCTAAATACGATGAATTTTACATTAAACCACCAAAACCTCGCAGTAGTGATCAACTGTGATATTTTGACTCTTAAGTATGACAGCAGATTACCTAATCCTTCTGTAATAAACATCCCTGGTAAAACATCAAATTCTAAATGATATATTGCATGATTTTCTCCAGGACTTGTTTTTCTACGTTGGATTTGTTTAAATGTTATTAATAAAAGAATGTGAAGATTTAATTATAAATAGTTGCTAATTAACATATATTAATATGCAATTAAGTTAAAGAAGTTCATACTTTTTTTTATTACATCTCTACACTTTTAACAAGAGTAATGAAGATTAGTACAAACTCGTCAGTTCTGGTATTGAACGATAAGCTTATTGGGCAGCCACTCGGGAGGTAAAAATAGATCTGAAATGCTGTTTTTAAACACCTCTGATTTCGAGCCGCAACTGAGAAATTAAGAAGAATATGAAAAGAAAATAATTCGTGGTTAATTTATTGTAATAACAAACGCTAGGCCTAGAAGTAAGTAGTTCATTTAGAGAACTTCCTGACACTGTAATTTTTAATTATTCGTGTCATGCTTTGAGTAATACAGAAGATAAAATGTTAGTTCATGGATTAAAATTCAATAAATCTTATTAATTGAAGTTTGAGATTTATTTTTATTTCATTTTTAGCAGTCAACGATACAATCCATATTATATGGTACGAATTAGTAAGTCTTTTAGTGATATTATTAGGACTCAAGTAATTCGGTCACTAAATGTATAACGTTGAAAGATCTCAGTAAAAATAAGAGAAGCGTCATAAAAATGTTATAAAAGAAACAGCATTGAGACACATATTGTAAATAAAGAATGATCACACAGATTTAAAAATCAAAGCATTGGAAGATTGTCTTAAATTTGGTTAAAATTGTATAGGAAAAACCCAAAAGATAACATAGTATTTCAAAACTCAGTTACAAAACTGACGCGTAAAAGTCGTACTAACACATAAGGTTCAGTGATCATGATTACAGAATAATAAATAACTTATATGACTAAGATTTGTCATTAAAACTAAGTATTATACATGTTAAGTTAATATTGTCAACATAAATGGCACTTTGTGCGAAAAATTAGGAAAATGACTAGTCTGGAGATATTCATAAAGCTTAGATTAAGCATCCCTAATTTTTAACTATTGATTAAAGGGAACTAGATACTAGCACCTAGTGACATAAAAGCTTTGTATGGCTTTTCAAACCAAATAACTGATTGGCTGTTACTTTTATGATACAACCATATCTATACAACTATATCACAAAATCCAGAACGCTAATCACAAGGCGATGTTCAAACACAAGGTATCGGATACACATTTAAGTTCGGACAGGTATCAAGAAAACAGTGTGGGCAACAATCAACACTCATTTCTGCAGATAATTTTCAGTAAATTATCGTTTTAATTGAAAGATAAATTTCATTCTCCCAAAACTTTAATTTTTGTTTGTCGATAATATATTCTTTCATTTTTAACTAATTTATACAATGTTCCTACTGTTCACTCAAATATATATATTATCAGCAAAGATAATTAGTTAAAATATGCAATTAGAATTATAAAGTACAGTTGGAATCCTTATTTTATGTTTGATTTCCAATTCAATCAAATAACTACCAGTTAGTTTATCTGGTATCAGCTTGAAAAACAGGCTTGCCTCTATAGGAACAGAATATAAAATGCTAGCTCATGGATATTTTATTTTTCTACGTTTATGAATGTGAAGAAAAAACACAACTGAAGCATAGTTAAGTGGCACTAACATCATTATTGACAAGTAAAAAAAAAAAGTGAAAACAATTATTTTTAGATTATTTAAATTAGATTATTTATGTGAAATCAATTACTTTAACTCTATGTGATAAATTAGATTATTTATGTGAAATCAATTACTTTAACTCTATGTGATAAATTAGATTATTTATGTGAAATCAATTACTTTAACTCTATGTGATAAATTAGATTATTTATGTGAAGGAGAAAATTGTTAGCAACATTCTCATCTTCAGAATCTCTTTTAAACTCTTTCAATTAAATGTTTGTGAGTTGAATATAAAAGTGAATTAAAAATTGAGTACGAGGTCGACATATTTCTAGAGGACGGAAGACAACACATTCAAGTATTATCAAAATATGTATTTCTTAATAAAACAATAGTAATACTTATACAAAGGAAAAATTTCAACAGAACAAACAACAAAAAAGGAGTGTACGTGGATGAACTCATTTGTCAAAATACAGGAGACTAGAAGACACTTGTTCAATTGTCTTTGTTAGCAAATGCAACACCTGAAAAGAGAGAATACACCCTATGTAACTGAGATAAGCCTAGTAAATATTTAGGAGAACAGACGACTGACTACTGTAACTTCACGCTGCTATAGAAATTATCTATGGTAATTACTAAAAAAATTAGAATAATAAATCATTTATTGCGACGTTACCCTAAGTTATCAATGATACCAAGCTATCTGATTTGATATCAGAAATTTTACTTGCAAGGTTTAATTATTTCATGATACTGAAAATAGTTAGCCTGCTGAAATAATCTTTTTTCTAATTGAGACTTTCATTATAAATTAATCATATACAAAAAATACGTCGTGAAAATCTTTTTGGTTGATTTCAAATTTACATTGTTGTGTTGTGTTTTTGGTTTAGGGAAATGGCTAGTGCTGTACGGGTAAAACACGCACCTCATGAGTGGAATGTTAATGTGAAGAAAAGAGAAGAAACAAGTGTGGTACATCTAGGCGAACCCGAATTTACTTAAGAACATTAATAACGATGGGATAGGTCCGCAGAAGTTGTAACAAGATGTTTATTATGAAGTAATTCTGAGTTCCCTGACTTTGTGTTCGAGAAAGAAAGGGAATGGACACAATGTAAAACACAGAGAGAAAACAATTTTTATTTGTATACTCAAAAACATAATCAAATAATGTGCACAGGACTAAGGACAATGCCTTTACTCTATACTTGACTTTCTAAACTCTCCTAACAGCTTGTGAAGATGTTTAATATGACTTAGTTAGTATTACGGGTTAAACTTTAGGGAAGTATTATTATTTACAAAGAAATAACAAAGTTCAACTAGTAAATCGATGATTTAAAACTAATTGAAAGAGAGAGCTAAATAAGAGATCATAGTCTTAGTATTATATATCAAAAGACTAATATCACTGTTGGCCACTACAATTGAAACATAAAGTAGATATTAACCTCGAGATATCACCAGATCTACCATTGAAGGAGACTGCTGACGACATCTTTGCACAACTTGCAGTATTACAGGACAGTCATTGATGGTTGTTGGCAATTCATTTGGGAACGTCACTCTCGATGTTATGGGTTTGACTTTCGGAGTTTATTGGTGGTGGTGTTCCAGTTTCCATAAAGACAGAGGCTCCCTGCTCTGTCTCGCTGATGTCTGGTGGGCTGTTGAGGTCGAAGCATCCTCAACATCATTGATGGTGATGGTGGTGGTACAGGCAATAAGGCAGATGTCTGGCTCTGGTCATTGATGGTGATGGTGTTGATCAACCTTCATTTATCTTCTTATTTTTCCATCCTTCAACCACCCCTCAAGCGAACCTTAAATCTGAGATCTTCCTTGGCTTTGTGATGTAGTGGTACTTGATGTCAGTAGACACTCCCTGATGGGACACCCAAGAAGAGGTTCCCAATGTCAATACGTCTGCTGTTTTTCCTTTTATCTGCAGATGTTATGGCAGTTGATAGCTGTCATGAGCTGTTGTATACTTGGCCCAACCAGCACAGAGATGGTGCTTGGCTGGCACTTAATGGGCAACACCCCTCTATCTGACAAGGTCTGAGATTCTTGAAGTGTGAATCAGTCTGACTGAGGCTGTTCTGCCCCTGAAGGCTAGAGTCAGCTTGACAACCAACTTAACATATTTTAATTTACCTTCCTAGTAATGAAGATAAAATCATACGATGTAGTGCATGCATTGTATGGCGAACATCACTTGATAGCTTGAAAAGCATGGATCACCATTTATTTTTAGTCAGTGATCCTAAAACGAGTACTGTATTGCTTTAAAATTTGGTGTATAGGACGACCTCTATTGTCAAGCATGTTTAGGATGTTACTTTTGTAAAGAAATTCTTAAAAGTTATGATTAAACTGTCCTAACCTGCACTTTGGGATAATCAATACAACCATAAGTGTTTTTTGTTGTTTTTTTTTTTTTTGCTCTTCAAAGGCTACAGTCAGCTTAATGCGGCATATCTTAATAAACATGTAATAAACAACTTTACGAACTTTTCATCACAGTTGAACTCCTTTTCGACTACAAAAAACAACAATAGCTAAATTCTAAGATAAGGTGATTTACTACAAAAACATGTTTACAAAATTAGTGTACGTTACAGAAACTAACTTTTTTTGATATAATATTAACAATATTTTAGTATGACGGATGAGATCAACACATTTCAAATAAAAAATGTCTTAATTAAATGTAACTGGTATGTGAAATGAATAACTTTTAGTTATGAAGAATCAAGACAAATGATACAAATATGTTATTGTAAAGCAGGTGGCACGATGTCAATGCATTTATTCAAAAAAGCAAACAAAAGTATAAGGAACAATGTAGCTTTGGTTAAATATGCTATTAACAGGAGAGTTCTTCCTGGAACTCTATCGTTGAACCTGTGTATAAGACGAGGGGTAAAATCAGGCATTGTATTAAGAGTAAAAAGTATGTCAAGCACAGTAGTAAAAGGTTATTTTCATGTTATGAATGAAAATACTTCATTTCATTTTGCAGTTTTGAAATTCCAGCTGCATAATTTCTAGAACCTCCTAAATGAATATCAAACTTTTTTCAAGTAAAACACTTGCTAAATGACCTCTCTGCAGAAGCTACTATTGCTGGAATTTTAATAGTATTCTTAAGCTAACACAAACATTTGGAAACAGGTCACCAAGTCTGTACTCTGTTAACATGTTCAGCAGATCTAATGGCTTTAACTGTGCATTTCCAAAATTTGCTTTATGTACTGAGGGTAAATGTTGCATTTCTTTTCCAAAATCATCACCGTTAAGGTCAGGTGGATATTGCTCTGATAAAGATAACGCTTTTCTCTCCACATCACTTTCAGACATGGTGAGATATTTCCACAAGAAATCAAAATTTTCAGCCAACCACTTAACAGCATTGAAGCTGACAGTTAATCCTGCTATAACATTGTTTACCAAAACGTAAAACACACACTTTCTGAAGTAGGCCTCTTCTGGCGTATCATCTGTGTCATTCATTTCCTCCAAGTTAGCATCAGGTGTACTGTCATCATGTGACCTGGCCCTCTTGAGCCTAACTCCACCACATCTATGGGAGAGTTCTATTTCTATCTTAGGTTTGACGCAACCAATTTGGCTTCATTCCACATGCATTTCCAGTTGTTTTGAAGTTTTGTCTGATCTGTGAGGAGAGTTTCTATGTTCGTTACTTCAGCATCCAGTGTGGCATCTTTGGCTTGGATGACCTTGTTGCAATTATCTATGGCAGCTAATATTTTGTACCAGACAGCTGACATTAACACACAGGCAAAAGATGTCACATATAATAAAACTCCATGGACTTCATTTCTTGTTTTGGCCGTCAAATTTTGTTCTGGGAGGTCTCCAGTGCTAATTTAATGCCAGGCAAGTGAGCTGCAAAAGGCTTTACACATTCAACACGATCTGACCATCTTGTTTCAGACGCACCATGAAGCGTTTTGTAGTAATTCCCACCGCTTAGGACTGGAATTGAACAAGTGGTACACAGTCTGAATTGTTCCAAAAAAAGTTATTGCTTCAGGTGTGCATTCAGCAGCATCATTTCTACATAAGTTGAGTGGGTGACAACCGCAAGGTGAAAAAATGGCTGTAGAGCATTGTGCACCTTTGTATTTTCCAGCTATATTTGCCACATTATCATATGTATACCAGCACTACATTAATAAGAAGCGTTTCACAGAAGTGGAAGTGTCACCCGCGCGCGAAATAGGCCGGCCGGAATTCGAACTTAAGCAAGGTCTTTAGGTAGACAAGGCACCATGTAAGTTTAAAGGAAATAGTTATTCGTTCAAAAAATGCCGTTCGGAAACGAGTGTGACGACGACGAAGCCGACAGCGGATAGTAATGGCTTCCCCATTAAATCATACTGATGCAATGATGCTATGATGAAAGCAAATAATATTATTCATTATACCTCTACATTTCCCAACACTACATAATATTATGGTTCATAATTTCAACGAATTGCAGATATATAAAACTGTAGGCTCACACAAAATGTGAATGGTAGTCTTCAATATATGCAAACATCTTCTGAGATTCCAGGAAATTCATGGTCCCCCTTTGGACCCTCGGGCCCGAGTACGAGGTACCCCCTGCACTCCTCTCACATTTCGGACAAAATCGAACAAAAGCGGTGCGGGAAATGTGCCCATCTCAGACTGGCTCCATGGCTTCCCCATTAAATCATACTGATGCAGTGAGGCTATGATAAAAGCAAATAATATTATTCATTATACCTCTACATTTACCTGGCTTCCTAACTAGCCTTAAAGTCGATTAAATAATTCACATGCTTGTTCAGACTAAGTTCCAGTCTGACAAACAAAAAATGGCAGAATGTTTAAAACTGTTTATCCCAGTGGGTTCGGTCCCTATCACATTCAGCAAGTTGAAATATTATCTTTCTTTTGGTTAAAATAATCCAATAGCAAATGTCAGAGGATATTATTTTGATTTTTTGAAAATTGGCACGTGGTCTTCAGTTTTTTACTTATATACCATAAAGTAAAAATCTTTGTTGCTACAAATTTAGTTTAACTCGGGAATATGTACAGAATACGTTTGAAAAAAAGTAGGATGTATATAGCGGTAGAAGAAAATCTAAAATGGGCAGTTCGGATTGAAAACTTATTGAAATATTTCTTCTTGAAAATTAAGAAATTATAACGCATATAATGTTAAAATTTGAATTACAATCTACGTTTCGATACCAAGATTATTGATATTTTTGATAATAAAAATGTTTAACTAAAAGTTAGTAACATGCACACTTTGACCACCTTCTGCTCTAAGGGTTAATGGACTAACTAACTGGAGATCAAGATGAGGTTTGGTTCAGCTTGAGCCAAGAGGCTTCTGTGTTGTTGGCATATACCAAAGCCACACTTTGGTACATTTATTCCTTCACAGTTTTATTGCAGTACCTCGTCTGTTACATAATGGGTGGAAAACAGCCTACTTCGTGAGTGGGATATATAATTGCATAACATGACACTGATATATTAGACTTTGAGGTAAACCACAAAACAACACTTGTGTGCATAGTGGTACTGTGAATTTTTTCCCACATGTACTCATGCAGTCTACTGTTCCTAGGGTCGATCTGGTCAACAATCAATAACACTACTGTAAAACACCATTTCACTGGTTATAGAGCTAATTTTGTATTAATATAGTCCAGGAACACACACAAGTTTTCAGAACACCAATTTGTTTATATGTCGATAGGGTGAGGTCTGGACTATTAATGACTTCTCCTGTGTGCTTGAGAAATTTATTGATATTTCAGCAAATCAATAAGGAAAGAGGTTCATATTTTTTATTCTCTCTTGTGTAATTTATTGTTTGTGTTTCTAATTGGTTGGAAACTATAGAAGCCTATTATTGAAGTTGTAAATTATGAAAGGGAGAAATTGGAGTTCAGATGCAACACATGACACAGAAAAATGAAGACTGAGATTTGTTTTAATATTTCTTATTGAAAATAAAAAATTAAAACTTAGTTAATATCTAGATTTGAACTATAATTTACATTTTCATGCCAAGTGTATTGACATACATTGAAAATAAAGTTATTTAATCAAATTTTGGATGTAAGACTATTATAGTTCATGACATTTACGAAATAATGCTATATTTTTGAATAACTGAGTTATCAGAACGAATGAAATAGATACTAGTTACAAAGAGAAACATGAAATGAACAATCTCTATTCATATCACATTTACCACAAACAATGTATGCATGCTCTTGACTTACTGACATGGGATGATTGCTTTTACTGGATGTTCTACATTTAACAGCTCAGGCCGAATTCACGTATCACACTGGCTAAGTCCAATGTTCCTTACTTCATAAGAAACATCGTATTTATCCAAAGTGACTACAGCTTCTCGCGTGGATGGTCACTCTAATTCCAAAATAGGTGAGGCTCTATCCACGAGATATCACCTGAACAACCACTGAAGGACAATGTTGTCCATATCCTTGCATATAATGCAGTATTGCAGCAAAACAGGTATTATTTTCTTGAGAATAACAAAGTAATAAAGGTAATTAGAATGAACCAACTTAACAACTTTCTGAAACACATATTATGTGAAGCCTGGTGATAAACACAATAAAAAATAAATTCCGAATAAATATCATACTAATACAAGAAGATAAAAATACATGGAATTTTTATACACCACAGAGGTACACAGCACCTGAACACATATGTCATAGAATCATTCACTGTGTATATGACTTACATGTCACTTTCCTGGATGGAAATACTTCTTGATTATGTTGAATACTGTTTCTACCACTGCCATTTGTGTTCATGGACTCTTACTGTTCACAAGATCCAAACTTTACTAACCCTGGCAGGAGTACAAACTACTGAAGGTTTCTTTCTGGATGGTCCTAGTCCCCAAGTTGATCCACATTCCTTTTGTTTTTCAATGCCATTAATTACAAAAAATATATACCTGTCTTAGAAATCCTAAATCATCAATCTGAACACAGCTTTACGGGCACATACCATTCCCAAAAGTGACCAAAGTTTTGGTGACATTACACTATCGAGAAAATGCCAATGTCAACATTTAGTTCTAAATACAGTGCCACCATAATCATATATTCGTTGTGGTCGTCACGTGATTTGTATATTGAAAATCGCTTTAATGTAATGTACTCACCTCCAGTTCTGTATTACAAAAACTTATGTGGATTTAGAATTTCCTTTTTGGGCCAAAAATATAATAAAAAAATTTGAGGGTTAGAAACTTGGCAATGCTTTTCAGTTTTCTTTTAAAAATTTTATGACACATTTTGTATCAAATATATATTTAAAATCACGAAATTTTCCCTATATTGTTATTTCAATTATGACTTCAGTGGAAAGAAAGTAATGATGTTTTAAAAACATAATAAATGAAAGGCCCTTACTTGAACAATTTGGAAAACTGCTGGGCTAGAGAGAAATAATGAATCTTTATTGAATATATTGGCACATCCATAAACATGGAATAAACAGATCCCTATAATATTTTTAGTCTACTTAAGAGGGTCCTGTTTTTATTACATGGAACATGACCTGACATTAAGTTACTAATTATGCATTGGATGATGATTATAGAGTAAAAACTATGCAAAGAATGCAAGTAGCATTGAAGATAGTGAATGAGCATTTGGCACAAGCAGCAAGAAAGAGTGAATAAAAGGCAAATGATATAATAGTGTTAATAAGTTAGGAGATAAAGTGTACTTGTATATTAATTTCCAAACTTAACAATTCTTTTGGAGCTTTATTATATTGCTTAAAGTAACTTACTATAATGACTGAATATTACTATTTTTGGGTCACTCTAGATCCACACCTTACGTGCTAGGCTCATATAACAAACCTTTATTACCAGCTTAATGTTTACATGATGTTACAGGTTCCATTTGTGGTGCTGGTAGATCAGTTTTATTTTCTATCTACTACTACCACTACTTTATTAGATCATAGCAATGCATCCTCCTCCATTTTCATTAATTTTATTTTGTCCAGTCTGACACTTTTCATAACTGCTTGGGGACTCTGAAGTGCACTCCAGTCTATGCCTTGCAAATTATCACTTCTGAACTCATATATCATTTGTGCCATGACTTTCTCTGGAAAATGTATGAGTTCTCTTTGTTGCACATTACTGGTATGTATATCTTCTTGTTTCTGAAGAGTTTTATTTATCTGAATTTGTGCTGATAGCGTCAATAACTGCTTCCAATGTAGTTAATGTGTGTACAAACATTCTAAGCTATATTTACCTTCAACCGACCAGATAACTAGAACTTCTGTTTTGAAACGTTTTTGGTGTACAAACCTTGAATGGACCTGAAACGATCGTTTTTGTGCTCCTTCGACATCAGCAGCCTGTTTACTAATGTACCCCTGAAAGAAACCATCAAACTTTATGCAGATAGTTTGTATGGTGGAGAAGTTCAGTGCCCTCCAATACCTAAGGACCTGTTTATTGAACTGATGAATACTGCGACACGTTCAGTGGAATTTAGCTTTTATGATATCATGTATCAACAGATCGACGGAGTCGCCATGGGTTCTCCTTTTGAACCTGCCTTAACCAATATTTTCGTTGGTTTCCATGAAAAAGAACTATTCAACAAAGTTACCAGACCTGCTGTTTACTTCTGCTATGCAGACGACACATTAGCCATTTTTAAAACTGAACAGGAATGTGAGTGTTTCTTACAAGACCTTAACTCGTTGCACTCGGCTCTCAAATTTACTTTCAAAAAGGATCAACATAACTCTTTACCGTTCCTAGACGTTTTAGTTGAAAGAGATGACTTTCGTTTTCTCACCAGTATATATAGAAAACCTACCTTTACAGGACAATACACACGATGGGATTCTTTCAGTCCTAAAAGTCGCAAAACGAACCTTATTGCTACTTTAGTCCATCGGGCTCTAGTTATCTGTTCAAATTCTAAACTAGATTTCGAATTGAAGACAATTAAAACTATTTTACTAGAAAATGGGTATCCAGAAATGGTCATCAATCAAATTACTTCAAGGAAAATTGCGAGCTTCTCAAGTGGCCCAAAATTGGGTCATAACAAGTGTCCTGTTTACCTAAAACTGCCATGGATTGGTAACCTTTCAACAAAATTTGAAAAACAATTGAAAAC